AATAAAAGTAGGCACTCACTAATGACACAGTTTTTTTGTTCAGCCAAGAAATTTCTTTTCAACAACTTCATTTTCAAACCAACTGTACAGTCGTATTTATATTACAGAAAAAGGTTATTAAGTAGCACTAAATAATTGCTCAGTCAATGTTCGTATACATGTGGTAAGAATAACCATAATTACAATGTTATAAGGCGTGGAGTTGAAGTGGATAAATTACAAAAATATTAAAGATTGTTTTATAAGCTAATTAATATCAAAAATGTCAAGTGTTGTCTAAAAATTTAAAAAAATTAGGAGTACGATTACGATTAGAATGAAGATGTGAAGTGAAGTGGAAAGAGTTCAAGTGGTGAAATAAGATAAAATAAAAACTAGAAAGAACATTCTGTCTGTCTGGATTCAACATAGAACTTGGCACCGAAGAGTAGCAGTTCGAGTTGCCACGTTCCAAATAGCACACAAAGGTAGACAAGAAGATGAGTGAAGGGAATCAATAGAGTTTGACAGGTATAAGAGCGAAACAGAATGGGTAATGGTAAAAAGAAATATGAAAGATTACAGAGACTGAATATATCTGCGCTGGCCATTGACAACGATTTTGAGCCATGTCACCTATTGTCTCCAGCCATTGATTCCTAGAGTCCTGAGGGCCCCAACCCGGAAGTCTGCATCTCCCTACCTGACTCAGTTTAACTGTCAAGGATTTATTTCATGGATTGATGGCATGTTTTTGTTTGGCCACCACTTACCCTTTTCCAACCTGCACCTATGTCAGCTAGTAATGCCCGTCGGGGGAGGCGATGGTTAGACATGCACACCACGTGACCTAGCCATCTCAATCTATGTAACTTTATAGCCTCGTCAATTGATTTTCCCTCTTTGCCCAATACTCTACGCCTAACGTCAACATTACTTACCTTATTATACCACCTAACGTGAGAAAGAGATCGTAGACATCTATGATCAAAAACAGTAAACCATTTCATGTCTTCAACTCGTATTGGCCATGTTTCAGAGCCATAGAGAAGGACGGAGCGAACTGATGAGCAGTTCACACGCCCCTTGGTTGATAGCCGGATATCACGCCTACGCCAGAGATGGTGTAAGTTGGCAAAAACAGCTCGAGCTTTTTGGATCCGTGCTGAGATTTCATCGCCAATCAGTCCGTTGGTGCTAATACAACTTCCCAAATAGGTGAAGTGGTCAACATGTTCTATCACTTCACTCCCTATCACTAAGCTAGGAGTTGACGTAGTCCAGTCCTGTAGCAGCATCTTACATTTTGCAGGGGCAAATCGCATGCCAAACATACGAAGATTGCTGCTCAAGGTGTTCAGAAGACTCTGCTGGATTTTGTCAGCATCCTCCCCTAACAGGACTATGTCATCTGCATATTCTAAGTCCATAAGATTATTCCCTGGTAACAAGTCGATTCCTAAGTCATTACGTTCACTTAAGGATACTTCCATTAGCATATCTATGATGAAGTTAAACAGAAATGGGGAAAGTGGACATCCCTGTCGGACACCACTGGTTGTTACCAATTCAGATGACAATTCCCCATAAGCCCTTACACGACTACGTGAGTTTGAATAGAGTGCCTTGATTAGTGCAATGTACTTTCTTGGCACTCGCTTCATAGTAAACATTGCCATAGTACCTTTCGATCCACGGAGTCGAAGGCTGCCTTCAAGTCAAGAAATATGGCAATTGTTGGACGCCGAAAAGTGTGTCTATGTTCTAGAATCTGTCGAAGAGTGAAGATATGATCTATGCACCCTCTACCTGGTCTAAAGCCTGCTTGATTTTCCCTCGTTTGTTCCTCCCGAGTTCTCCTTAGTCTGTGCATGATTACTGAGCCTAGGATTTTAGAGACTATGTTCGTTAGGCTGATCCCCCTATGATTATCACACGAGGACTTGTTTCCCTTCTTGAATATCGGTATAATAAGTGACTTACCCCAGTCTGATGGCACTGTCTCTGATTCCCAGACTTTGCCTAGTACCTCAGTTAATCTACAAACTAGTATGTCACCCCCATATTTAAACACCTCCGGAATAATTCCGTCGGGTCCTGCCGCTTTGCCTCGTTTCAAATTACTGATAGCTTTTGTGACCTCACTTACAGACGGCGGACCAGTGTCTATATCCCATTCGGGTGTGTTGTGGATGTCGGGGAGGTTCAGTGTGGCTGTAGGCAAGTTAAATTGTCCCTCAAAGTGTTCTTTCCAGCGTTCAAGGCGTCTATCCGGAGAGCTAAGTATGGTGCCATTTTTCTCAGAAATAGTCTCACTTATGATTTGCCTTCTCCCACCCGTTTCCCTGATGAGTCTAAAGAGTTACTTAGTGTTGCCTATCCTCGAAGGTTTCTTCATCTCTTTCGCTTTTGTCACCCACCACTGTTCACGGTCCTTGCTTAGACTTTTCGTGAGTTTCCTTTTGTGCAGTTTTCGCTCCTCATTGAAATCGGAGCTCGCCGGAATAAGTCTTCTAGCGTCTATCAGTTCGGATGAGGCGGTGGAGATCCAATGGTTTTTACTCACCTTTGGGTTTACCTTATTAACAGCTTTTACAGCTGTATCTATGGCCGACTGAATATTCTTCCAGGTTTCTTCAGGGTGAGCACAGCTGTCGAACTCAGATATGTGTTTAGCTAGTTCTTCCTCAAATAGGGATTTAGTTTCCTGATGGAGCTTGCGACGTGATGGGTTTACCGCCAGCTGTTTCCTACGTCCGTTCAGTCGTAAGCACACCCGGGTGCAGACCAGTGCGTGATCGGTATTTACACACGTGTTCCAGAAGGAGCGACATTCTCCTACAGACCCACGCCAACGATAGCTTATTGCTATGTGGTCTATTTGTGTCCAGCGTTGGTTTGGTGATGGGGGTCGCCAGGTCAAACAGTTTCTCTCCTTGTGTTATGATTATCTGGACAGAACTGTAGGAGACGGTCACCGTTGTCGGTCCGTTGGGACGGAACTCCATAGGTGCCACCGACATCCTCCTCAGATTGACACAATTTCCCTACTTGAGCATTAAAGTCACCAGCTAGAACGACTATATCTGAGCGTTTAGCCTTTCTCACCAAACTAGACAGCTTTTGGTAGAACTCATCCTTTTTTTCATTCGAACTGCAGTCAGTGGGGGCGTAGGCGGAGATTACGAAAAGGCATCGGCGAGTAGTGCATTCCTTTCTTCTTTTTTACTGACCCGTTCAGGCGGACAGAACACATTCGGCTATCTACCTGGATCCAGTCAAGTAATGTCTTTTCTGCCCTAGTACTTAAAGCTATCTCTACGCCAGCTAATCCTCGTGAACTGGCTGTGGCATCTCCTGACACCTTCAAGGTGAATTTTGAAGATTCATTCTGTTGGCCAGGTGGGGTTAGGTGAATAACCGCACTTGGGTCTTGTAAGCGTGTTTCTGAAACACAACATACATCAATGGCTCGGGATGCCAGGGTCTTAGCTAGTGATGCTTAATGTCCTATTTGGCAAAGTGTTCTTACATTGAATGCTCCTATATGAAAGAACATTACTATGACCAAGGTAAAGAAAGGGGTTTGACAAAACGGTTTTGAACACAATTTAGGTTTATGTTCATGTATAGCTAAAACTTCGGCTATGCATATGATTATGAGCAATAAATTGTGCTCGAAACGTCATCAGTAAACATTAATGTATAGCACTGTGAGACTTTATCAAAACAAAAATTTAGCCATAATGGAAGAAAACGTAAACTTTTGGATCGATTCGATTTTCCCATGCAGATAACTTTGAAATGACCACACTCTAACAGGTGATTACAAATAGATGACTTCGCAGTTCTTCGTTCGCCTTTCATTAACCAAACCGGATAGTGTTCAGCTACAAGTTTTCGGAGATTACGCTTACAACGGCCAATATAATCAGCTCCACAAGAGCAGGTAAAAGAGTAAATGCACACAGACGTGGACAAAAGCGGTAATCTATCCTTGACGCATTGTCTAATCATATTTCGGCTGGGAAAAGCTAGATGCAAGTCAGCTGCACTAATGACCAGTCATATTTGAATAGGTCAAGTAGTCCAACGTAGACAAAGCAAGGTGTCAAGTCTATTGTTTTGACTGTACACAGAGTTTAGGAAGTATGGGACTAAGTCCAAAGTACTCTTCCATTCCCTTAATAAATAACCTTGAATTAAAGTCATGTGATGAATCATTGTGAAGCAGTCATTAGTATTGATTTTGTGACCTCACATGAATAAGTGCTTTGCAATGGATGATAATGGATTTCTATTCAAATTAATAATTGCATTGGGATTTTTCAGGTATCTTAATAACCATTTTGTTGATGAACATGTCAAGTGGGCAGTTTTCTCTAATTCATTTAATTCAGTTTCAGATTTTCCCGTCGATTAATTGGACCGAAGTGCTCGGTCTCAGGTTGACGCTTTGACGTTCGAAACTATTTGTACCAGGTTTGGAGCCTCGGTGGGAACACCATCAATGACTCACTGAGGAATGCAGGTACATCCAGCTAGTTGACGAGATTCCACTGCTAGTCACCATCCACCAATTAATTTTATCTAATTATTGGCATAAATATATTGGCTGACAGAAGGCCCGAGAGGACGCTTAGTGCTATGACGATATGTTTTGCCGTTAAACTGAAACTGCACGTTTATCGTACAGCGTGTGGTAGTAGTAGTCGTCGTAATACTACACAAACAGTCACCTGGGTAACTCCTACTTCACCAGATATATAAATGTATACCATGTTGTAAATACCTATATAGTGTAGCGTGAACACCAAGTCTTCAACAGACTAAGAATTATTGATTTGACATTGGTGTTAAAATCCGGATCTTGTTATTGTAACTAAACGCTGTGGATCTCTTCAAAGTGTTTTCAAAGTGATGTGAATATACCGGTTGGCTAATTTGAATAAAACATCGACTAACTAACTGACACTTCGTTATCAATGGATGCTGCTACTTAACTTCAGAGAAAAGTATCTTTAAATCAGATATAGACAGACAACTCGGTTAACTAAAAATGAATTATTATTACAAGGTAAAAGACACGACGGCACACGGACAAACGAACACAAAAAGAAACCAACACCTACCCAATGCTCTGAAAATGCATGCTGTGTTAAGGCCCAACGAGTACACAGCACTGTGGGACAAATAGGACATGTAAAGGTTAAGCTTCCTTTAGTTGCTTCTAAAAGGTGGGCATCAAATTGTGGAGAAACACCAAATCGTAGCTACATTAAATTTTTTATGATGAAACAGAGTAGAAAAGAAAAAAAGAGAAAAGATTAAGTGGATTTACAGGGAATCACTGAAATCGTCTAAGTGCTACACATTAACTTGCAAACAGAACAAATGGAGTACTTAGGTCACGAGCTGACACATCAGTCAGAGAACTATTAGAAAACCATAGAGTATTGGGGACAGCTGTTTCATCCTAGCGTAACCTCCAACCTCATTTCTTGGTGTACCCCGCTGGTCACGATTCCCCATATATCACGAACTAGCAGAAATTGGAATTCATAGACCGTCGAATTAGGGTCCCATCAGTGGCTGAATGAACTACAAGATCGCCATGTAAGCAGGAACTCCTGGGTACTAACCCCGGTGGGTGGGTGCTGATCAAGAGTCACACACTAGGATCAAAACCCGCTGTTCACCTCAGAGTAAGTAAGTCAGAATGTAAAATTAATGGAGTAGACGTTTTATAACCTCCTAATTAACCAGAGTCGAGTGGCAACATAACCCAACTGAGAGAGGCATCTTCCTGCTGTTACGATCCACTATTCGCCAGCCAGAACAAAATTCACTTCAACACCCTCTCAAACACTGCATAAGACACCTTCACAATGATGGCAACTACTTTAAGTTTGACCGTGCTGCTATGCAAACAATCTTTATTACACGTTAAGATGCATGCAAGAACGCTCCTTCCAACCAAACCAACACAGTTCGTTGAGTCATTTCGATATGCGGAAGACCGTCGATACCGCCATGTCTGAGGAAACAATATGATCAGATAACATAATTCACAAGACACTATTTATAAATAAAACACCTAATGAAATCCTTAAGGATAAAGAAAAATAATGAAGGTTCGTTGCGTAAAGCCAAAGTGTAATCTTTGTCATAGGGGACTTCAAGCTAGAGACTTGAAGTTTCTGTAGCAGTGGTGTTTGCTAACCAGCCTTATACCCAACTTTCCCTCTTTAACAATCTCAATACTGGCTTAGCGAGGTAAAGGAGTGCGTAGGCCGGGGATCGCACCCTGAACCCCACTCGTGGTTGGCAAGCGTTCTACCACTGTACAACCGACAACCAAAGATGAAATGTCGTTGTCGTCGCTCATACACATAAATTAGTCAGAATGGTTAGAAGACATTTTAAGCCCACTATGCAAAACTCGAATTATGTAAGTTTGCTTTGGATAAAGGCTACATTTCAAATTGTTGACTGTCTTGTAGATGCGAACATAGAAGATTTGAAGGTGGTGTATTCCTTTAATGTTAATTCCTTGTTTACTAATGTACCGCTGATTAAGACCGTTGATGTTATTTGTGATTACATATCTTCTAGTTGTTTTCCGTTCCATTTTCCTTTCAAATTTATCTGAAAGATTTATTACTATTATTTACTGACAACGTCCATTTCACGTTTAAAGTGCCTTTCTATAAGGCACTTCCACACGAGGAGTTTTGCTGCTGAATATGAATACAATTTTTAGACAAGACAATGGTATCTATTTCAATTTAGACTTCTCCGTCGATTGATTGGGCAGAAGCGCTCGGTCTCAAGTTGATATGTCAGCTGCTTGTGCAGATGCTTCGACGAGGCCGGGTCAAGTAACTTGGAGTCCATTGGTGATTAGCAGTGGAATCTACCAGGATGCGCATTTCGTCCTATTTGAGACTCGTCTGCCAGTTGGATGTACCTGCATTCTCCTGTGAGTCAGTGATGGTGTTTCCACCGAGGCTTGAACCCAGTGTCTATAGAGTCAAACACCGAATGTGCATCCTGGATTCCACTGCCAGTCACCACCATCAACCTACCAACCAATTGACTTCAAGACAATGGTACAATACTAGAGTTGACGAACGATATATTCAGGACATTATTTGCAGGATAATACGACCTCGTTTCATTCATATTCCGTGGATTTTCCTGCAACTATATACACATCATCCTAAACAGTATTATCGAAATATAAGTTACACAAAATGATGTGAACATACATTTCTTACAATGACATCGACTTATGGATAGGAAATACAGGCAATAAAATCGAAATAATGATGTAATTTGATAAACTATTCAGTTTTTAAAGGATTAACTATCGACAGCAGAATTTGCTTCGAAACAGGGATTGACTAGAGACAAAATACAAGGTTGAAGACAACACAGTGAATTTATACATACTACGATGGAGACAGAGTTCAACAGGGTGAGAGTGCATTGGCAAATTACAATTACGACATAATAGACAAACATTGAAGTAAACTCAGAAATTGAATAGTCAGTGTAAAAACATCAAAGTCAACATTAAATGGAGTGTTACGCAACAGAAGAAAAGAGAAAAAAATGGCACACGAATAAAACAACTACAGTTACCAGGGTAATGATAGATTAGTCACCCTGGCTTTCTGTATACGCACATTGAATATAAGTTATGTTGCTCACACTTTCTATCCATAAGTCGATGTCACTGTTAGAAAGGTATGTGTTCAGATCATTTTGTGTAACTTGTATTTTGATAATACCGTTTAGGATGTGTATGCATTTGAACAAGAATCCACGGAATATGGAATGAGGTCGTATTATCCTGCAAGTATACATCCATATATAGTCGTTCTTTCTTTGTTCAAACTAATAAGCGGAACTCGTTGTTTGGAATCCAGAATATTGATAGATTATCCACCGAAGAAAATTCTCTTTTCGACAATTTCACTTTCGTAGCTATACATAGCTGATATAGATTCAGGTTGGAAAAGAGCCAGTGGTGGCCAAACAAAAACATGGCCTCAATCCATGAAATCCTTGACAGTTAAACTGAGTCAGGTAGGGAGATGCAGACTCCCGGGTTGCGGCCCTCGGGACTCTAGGAATCAATGGCTGGAGACAATAGGTGACATGGCTCAAAATCGTTGTCAATGGCCAGCGCAGATGTATTCAGTCTCTGTAATCTTTCATATTCCTTTCTACCATTACCCATTCTGTTTCACTCTTATACTTGTCAGACTGTATTGATTCTCTTCACTCATCTTCTTGTCTACCTCTGTGTGCTATTTGGAAGGTGGCAACTGGAACTGCTGCACTTCGGTGCCAAGTTCTATGTTGAATCCAGACAGACAGACAGACATATACACATAAATCACAATAGACAGCACCAATTAGCTTTCTTGAGTCTTTCCCTATCGAGACCAACAGGAAATCATATGAAAGAAATACGAAGAGGGCCAAGGTAGCTACGAAAGTGATGCATACAAACTTAGAGTTTATAGGTGAAACTGAGAGTGAGTGAAGTCCTTAACATTCGACTGACAGGATCATTAGGTTTTTGCTGTCGCAATCTACGAATAATCTGCTCTAACCGTCCACTGGTACAGCCTGAATCTTAAGCTAATATTACCTCAATTCTTCAATTTCATGTGTATTCACATGTTCACCTGCTAGGTACATAGAACGTTCGTTGAAAAACATATCCCGCCGCCTCATTCCACACCGCCTCCCAAGCCTTACTCAGAGAAGGGGAGATCGTAAAGGCATTATTTAATCTATATTGGTTATACAGAGTAGATTATTTATTTTTTACTTTTATTTTTGATTACAGCTTGATTCCACACCGTATTTTCGGTACAAGTATGGAATTTTCAGCATGTGATATCGGTAGCCCAAATTTTGCAGGCCGACCATAGATAATATCAGGTGTGCGTCGGCGTGGGCTCGAACCCCGGACCATGTGCATGGTCGGCGAGAGTCCTAACCACTGTGCCACCGACGCACAGCATTTGATGCATTATCCATTCGTATAATCTACAAAATCCGACAAAGTTTACGCAAAATGACACGAATCCATATCTGCTGCTTTGGATAGCAAGAGCTTTGACAATTACAATAACATAAGGTCAGGACTTTGTGTACATTGTGAACAATTGTAAAGATGATTGTAAAGAGATCGTGAACAAACTACGAGATGACATCACATCTCGCGATACTCTTGTTGTTGTTAGTGCCTTAACGGGACTACCTAATACGATTATCTCGTTACTTGATGATTTTGCACAAGTCGTAAATACCTACCCTGCAATAAGAACACACCCCGAAAATACTGTATTGTGTGTAGACACACACACACACACATACACACATATTTCAGAATAAAGCTATTATTATCTTTATTAAAGCGGAGAGAAATATCTGAATATTCATCAAAAAAACAAAACAAAAATAGAGGTTAACGACAAATCACGGACGCACACACACATACACTCGCAAACAAACATAGAACAACAAGACTAGTGATGTCCATTAAAGCAGGAAATCTGACTCACATGTCGATAAACTTCTATACAACAGGGAATGTGATCATCAGGTTTCGGGAATAGAAATTCCTCTGATGAATACTGTTGATTATTTGAAGATGACGATGATGAATTCAGATGTTGACGCTTCAATCGACGTAGTTGTATAGGATCTGGCAGAACAATAGACGATGAATTGTACTTGTATGCATGTATCAAGTGTGTTCCAGAATGCGATAAAATAGCCAGTGGAGAATCAAGTAAGGCTAATCCACATACACAATGTGGTAGAGCTACACACGAAGGTGAAGACGAAAATGACAAGAAAAGCAATTTAAAAAAAAAGAAATAATCAATTGAAGCACACTGCAGCATTGAAAAACAGATTACTAACCTGGTGACTAGGGGTATGAAGATCTTGTTGTAGTGGGACACCTTGACTTTTATTTCACTGTCGCCAAAAACATTAACTCTTCTCTGAACGCCTTTTTTTCTATACGACTGAATGGGGATTTTCAACCTTCACAATCGTCACCATCACCACCACGATCATCATCCCTAACACATGCTCTATCTCCTACCAATCAGAGACTCTCAGATGATCTGACCATTGAAAAACCGATCAAATAAGGCAGTGTATTCGCATACTGAACTAATGGAAGTGTGAATGACATTGACACTACTACTGAAAGAGATAAATATGTCCTATTCCTTAACAAGTATATCGGAGTATCCTGACCGAGAGCTGCAACCTTGAAGTGGTGGTCAGATACGACTGTACAGCTTGAAAATGAAGTTGTTGAAAAGAAATTTCTTCGCTGAACGAAAAACTATGTTTTTACTTATGACATAGTAGAAGTGCCATTCACTTCAATGAGTTTCCTTTGGAATATCAAGATAATCACATTTGCTTAGTACTAGGATGTCTGAAGGGAGTATCAAAGAAACCAATTCTAATTGCACGATTATTTCTAAAGCAAACTGTGAAGAATTTGTAAACTGTCCCATTCTTCATTCCAAAATGAATCGTCAATAAATAGTGTGTCTTTGTATAACTAACCTTTAGCATTTTCATTCCACTGACGTGTTCGTGCAAGACACCAAGAAACCATACTAGAAAAAATTAAGAAACAGGCAAAACAACACAACACGGTAAGGTTGGTTAACACATTAAGCACAATAAAATGGAAGGGTTTCGCATGCCATTAAAGTAATGTAGGGGTCACTAGGTCGAGTGGCAGGAAGCTCGCTTAGCATGCCAGAGGTACTTGGATAAATGGCCAGGTAACCCACCGACTCACCTTGTCCTGTGTGTCGGTGGTTCAGTGTTAGAATACTCCTCGACCACCAATACGGTCCGGGATTCGATGATCCCCAGCCAACGTACTCCTAGGACTGGCTTAACCGGCAGTAAGCCTGGTAAAAAGTCTAAACTCCAGTTATACTTAGTTCTCCACACGCCTGATATTAAAACAGTCACCAATAACAAAATGAAAGGATCAAGGAGCATTGGACAACCATTTCTTCCTTGTTCGGGACAATGCAACAGTACAAATCCATGGGCTCACCGAGGATAAGACCTACGACCTTCAGCCCAAACAGGGCTAGCTGAATGTTTAAATCAATCAAATCCCTAAAATCTACAATTGGAATTCAATTGAGTGCTCACTGACGACTCACTACAGAATGAAGTTGACCGAAGTTCTACTTGGGGAAGTCATGACCAGAGCGTCCCACCGAGTTGTGTGAGGACAACTGCTCGCTGATGACACTGACTGGCGACTGCACCATATTTCACGAATGGTTGGAGTTCGATTTATGGACAACTAAGTTTTCTCCCAATGGTTGAGTGGTGCAGGAGATCGCCTTGTAACCAGGACGTTCCGGGTTCAACTCCTCGCGGCTACATAGATGTGTAAACTTAAGGTACACAAACGACAACAACAATTACAACGAAACAGCTGTACAACACACTCTAGTTTTCCAAAGATGCTCTAATCGCTGTCAAATCGTGATCAATCTCTAAAAGTCAGTCAAATCCCTGCAAAGAAGCAAGTGAAAAATCAGTAACGTTGATGACACCCGTAGTGTGAAGAATAGTGAACAACAATGCCGACTCATGTAGATAATTGGTAGAATCAATAAATATATGCAGCGCGAGTGATAAATGACAAACTGGAATGTCTTCCTTTCAGAGAAAAGAACATGACCACTGACTGAAAGGGTACTTCGTAGGTCTGTGTAATCTTCGAATATTATAATTCCCCTACGAAATAGTGTAGGATTGTAATGTCAGAAGACAAGGGACAGGCAATAACTCGTTTCTTGGGAAAATCAAGAGGTATTTATAGATTTTTATGTACATTAATGTCAGCGGAGAAGCAATCTCTTCTGAATCGTTGTTTTCCTGATGAAGATTATTCTGTTATCTATTTGTGGCCGTTTCTCAGAAAATCAAGCCATATATCTGCGTATCATATTTCCACATATTGCCTCAGCTTTAATTGACTGGTGATTTTATCAAGGCTAAGCTTAGTTATTGCTTTCTTCATGACTCTGATTTGGAACGTGAACATTGACGTAAATTGTTGTCTACAATTTTGGCTTGCAGCCAGCTCTCACCACAGGATCATCACTTGGTGACTGGAGAACAATGCAACCACCACCTCAATCATTCTTCCAACTCATTTGTCGAGTAGAAATTCGGCTACATCTGCAGCTTCAATACTATCAGCATTCAACGCTTCATCTTCTTTAGAAGAAGCTTTCATGTGGCAGATTCTGGTACCTACACAAGGAGTAGATTTCATCCATCCTTCGGGCTGTAATTGATGGAGTAAAATGACTTCATGGAACTCTTCTCAAAAAATAAAACAAGAGTGCCTGTACTTATACAGAGAGAGAGGATTCTTTCTATTCCTCTGAGACAAAAGAAACTGGAGTGGAATTCCCTACACTTCGACTGGTCATATTTCCCGGTTTTGCACAAACAGTATCGCTTCACAGATAGAAATCTCGATGCATTATGGGAATCCAGATTCTCTATTCTCTGTTTTGATGTTCAATCTGCATGGTTTCATTGAAGGCGAAGTGTTCAAATAATGCGTCAAGTGATAAATTGTTGTGTACTTCTGTGGCTAACTGACTGACTGACTGACTCCACAGAACAATGAATAATCTGAGTATGGAGATGGCATAGGAAGGGATGGAATGGCATGATGATTGAAAACATAACTTATTAGTGAGCATTTGGATGAGAGTGCTTCTGGTGCTGTTGCAATAGTAATCAGACTTGCTCAGAACTGAAGGATATGATTAAACTCCCCGTCGAAAATTAATATGAATAGGTATAACACAGGATAATTCTAATCCTAACATGCTATCCACCCATTATCCAAATGATGCTTAAAAATGAGATCGCGATGAAATTTGCACCTCAGCGCACCTCGCAACGCGGTCATACTGGTGCTGTCAATAACGCAGCTTATGCAATACAACGGATGGTATGCCTTCAAAGTCACTGATGCCTTCGCACTCCACGCTCGCTATTCTTTAGATTCGACGATACCGTCTCTTGAACATCAATGAGAACATTGTTTCCTCCAGGACAACTGTGAATAAGCACGAAACGTAGATTTCATAGAGCTTCCTGAAATTTAGTGCAGACCACTGAACTAAAGAATTCTATATGATTACCTAAACACACAACAAAATAGCCCAATGAATAGGTGGATAACACTTTCACATTTAAAACGCCGAAGTCAAGGGGTAGCATGAATCATTGAATAATACATCTCAGTCTTCTACCCAGTTACATTACAATTCAACTATTGGGGACAGATTACTTATGGATTGTCTTCTTGCTAAGGTTAAAGTAGATGGAACGCGAGTCGAAGCCAGGACCTACCAACTGACAGTCAAGTGACTCAATTACCTCCACTCAGTGACCTGTAATCAAATTATACAATGTGTAAACATAATGGATCTTTTCAAGTTTAATCACGAATGGAAAACATTTGGGGAACCGGTGGAAACCAGGGAACACTGGACAACCGTTTCGTCCTACACAGAGACTCATCGACAGCACGCACCCACCGGGTTTCGAATCCAACACTTTCCAGTTACTAGCAAACCAATGACACTCCACTCAGTGGACCATGACATTGGCTAGTAGTCGCGCTAGAAATCGCAAATTGATAGAAGTTACAATTCATGGACTGGCCTTTAAGTCGGGTCCGAGTGGCTGAATGATCTACGAGTTTGACTTGTTTGACTACTGAAATGTCATGCGTTCCAGCCCTGACAGTGGGCGCGAACTGTCGACGAGTCACAAACTGGGCTGACGGAACAGCTGTCCAATACCAGAACTCCCAGCTGGTTTAGGTTTACACAATGGCTCTCTAACTGATATCAATCAATTCATCAAATCCAAGCTTCCCCACCCCCTACAAACCAACTCTTCATCATGGATTTTGTTTTGTAAAATTAAAAATTAAGCAAGTAAAAATAACTTACTAGTGTTCATGAACATGTGATAATAAGTGTTCATAATCCATATCGGCATTATCTTTTTCAGAAAATGTCAATTGCTTGTCACACCATGGACAAACAATCAGATTACGACTATCGTAAAAGTGAGAATCTCTTTCATGATTGTGTAAATTTATCAGATCTGTAAAGTATAGAGCAGTGAATGGAGTTGTATCACAGTTACTAGAAGATTCTTGTAGTTGATGTTGTTGTTGTTGCAGTAGCTGTTGAGAACAGTCTGAACTATAATCACTGTCTGCTATTGATTCTTGATTTTGAAGTACTAGACTGATTTCGTTGTTTCGACTTTGTGTGACTGAACGAAAAAAAAAGAAACAAACAAACGAAATAGTACAACAGTACACACACCACTAACAGTTATGGAGATTTAGGTTTTTATTAAATTAACGTTAACAATGATGAAATAAAATTTTAAAAAAACAACAACTGTGCATGCATTGCATTTCAAATAAAAGCTTTTCTTTCTCATGTAAGTATAAATCAATTAATCAGCGAATTCCTGAGTACGCAGAAGACAGACTAGACAAGTTTATTGTCTTTCATCACTATGAAACTGTCTTTAGCATCTATGATTCTACGAAGCATTTATGAGGATTTGATTAGTTGGGAAGATGACAATGCACCTGTACCGTTGACAACATTTTCAACTGACACAACGACCGACAGACAGCTATTAGTTAGCTTTTCAATCATTGGTTGGCAGGGATTTCATTGGCCATGAATTGATATCGATTAGAGAACCATTGGAAAACCAACTGAAAGTACTGCCAGACAGCTGTTTCGTCAGCATAGTTTGCGACTCGTCGGTAGTAAACACAGGCCAAGGTTCAAAAACAGGACCTTTCGGTGACAAGGCGAGCTCGCAAACCATTTAGCCACTGGGACCCAACCCGACTCAATGGCCAGTCCATGAATCCCGGCTTCACGATATAGTGCAACCACTAGCCAATGTCATCGGAAAGTATTTATCTGATGCTCACTGGCGACTGGCCCGATTCAAGTAGGGGGTATCATAGACAGAAACACTGGAAAATCACCTGTCCCATCCACTGAAGGAAATCTTCGAGGCTAAACTTCGTCTAACTTTCCTCCAAAAACCAATAATCCGCATGAACCTGAAGGATAACCTACCACTGCTGACTGGCTTTATCAATATGTATCCATCAATTCGCCCACTTATTTCGAAATAGGCATGTCGGTCGTACTAAGTGTGTCCAATCCAAACGTATAATCAAAAACTTAACCTCATGATCGCCCCGCAGCTCTATCCTCGAACACTTGATCAAATCTGAACAGCAAGCTAACCCAGCCACCCAGGGAACTTCACAGTGATATAAGAGGATATATGTGGTAGTCTTGCCTCATGCCCAACTTTCTCCCTTACCAGTCTTAATACTGGCTTAGCGAGATAATGGAGTGCGTCGGTGGCCGGGGGTCGAATCCCGAAACACCTGCGTAGTTGGCGAGCACTCTATGACTGTGCCACCGAAGCACACTACAACCATATATATATATATATATATATATATATATATATATACTTGCGACTGTACACAACTTGAGAATGATATCGGTGGAAAAAGTAACTCTTCGTTGAATGTTACCCCACCCTCCTTTTTTCTATGACTCAATGAGGGGGATTTTCAAGTTGCTGCTGCTTTAACTTCAGAATGCTTAAAGCTCTCCTATCTTCCACCAGTCAGAAAAAGACAAACGAATAAAAACCAGACATGAGAGGAGGGAGGACGGAAGAAAATACTTCCTTATACATATTTACATACCTTCATCTGATTCATTTGATTCTGCAGACAACAATAATGAGTCAGATGTGATCTGTGCATGGGGATGATGCATACACAAGGAATAGGAAGTTGAAGTCAAAGTAGTAGTTGTTGTTGTTGCTGCTGCTGTTGCTGTGGTGGTTATTATCCCTGTAGACGAAGGATGAATACCACCAGTCACCGCTATATTTCTCCTTGGTCCAATACCACAGTATGCACAGAAGCATAATTTTCCATTGAATATTACTGATGCATTATTATTCCTCCTCCCATAACTGGAAGCAGACGAAGAAGAAGATGCATTATTCTCACACGATGAGTAGGCTCTGACAGACTGTTGTTGTTGTGGTTGTGCTTGTTGTTGTTGTCGTTGTTGGTTGTCATCTGTATGCTCTGGGTCCAATACATTAAGTATATCCTCATTTCTATGATAATTATTGTCATTATTATTATTACCATCACTATAAGTATATGAATATCCAAATGTTGACTGAAAAATTGTTTGTGCATGCTGACAAACTGATAAATGTTTTCGAAAAATATCAATATTGGGAAAAAGACGTTTACACGAACCAAAACATCGATAATAGTTTTCATGAATACAAGTTGATAGATGTTCAGCCTAGATTATTGAGAAGGAAGAAGAAAAGAAAATAGCGGGGATGGGGGGAGAGAAACCAGAAGTTATAAATAGTGTTCACTCATACATTAACTAATACAATAATCAGCTTCAAGAGGCATAAAGTCGATTCGGGTGTGAACTCAATGAATGAATGAATGAATTTACACACTTTTCGTAGATTATACCTCAAAACAAAATATGGCATACAAACCTTTTATAGTTTGGATTTATTACACATACTAATTTCTGTTATGATCCCCATATCATCACCACCAGTTGAAATGAGCCCGTCGGGATTCTCCTCTACATACATTCATACATACATACACCTGTCGCCAATCGATATGAGTGAGTAAGACTTATACATGGGTAGGATAGTCCTGGCGGAACGGACAACTCAAATGATACATATACTACTAAATACGCCTATTCGTCTGTGCTACTACCTTCGCTTCACTGAGCCAGGTAAATATCAAAAGGTAAAGACTGGTCTGTGAATGGTAGAGGATACAATTTTCTATTAGGGGAAAAGGCACGTTATATTTATGTATATATTTAACCATATTAAAATCTGCCTAGGGCACTGGAAATGCACTGTTCTAATTGGTAGACGATTTGACTAGGGCCGTAAAAAATAAACATTCTGATTGGTCGACTATTGAATTACAGTGTCAAGGTAAGGAAAAAAGGATGATAACAGTTTACAGTTATCCTATCTCACACGATAAATAATCATAAGTTTGGTCACTACTTTGAGTCGATTCCTATCAATTTCTTTATTAGCCTCCCTTTAAAGTTTCGCATAGCACCCCATCCACCCTTTTACTGCCTCCCTCCTCACTAATCTCAGGTGACTGTCATCCACGGATTTTGACAAGAAGCGAATTGACGTTTATATCCATGTATATGAGGGTGGCAACCGCTCTTTTGATTTATAGCCTTTTTGACGCTACATCTCCTTCGTATTGTTTTAGAAAGTGGACTCTATTTCAAATCGCGTCCTCCCCTCATTTCTTTACGGCTTTCTTTTCTGCTTCAATCCCAAAGTGATTACGTGGAGTCTTACGTTTTTCGTTTGTTTTATTATTTTTGTTAGTTTTGTTTATTTTGGTTCAACTATTTGTCAAGCCACGGGTGAGGGCCTGTGAACGGTCCGTGGCACAACTAACAGTCCATCGTTGGTTGTCCTCCACACTCGAGCCTGCGATACCGCATTCTCCACTCATGTTAGCCATGTCAATCCAGCCCTCACCACAATCCATGGCCCTTGGCATGGTTCAAGCTGACCCTCAAACAACAGCCTCCTGTTATGTCATCCTCACCTCCCAAATACCAGCAGCTCATCTTTCGCCCATCGTTCCAATCAATCCCTATCCTTAATCGTGTCTCCAACATACCTGTGTATACACTGTCCTTCAAACTTCGCTTCTCCGAGAGGTTTATCTCAACATCTGCGCCAAATCCACCCTGCCGATTACAATGAGGCCCCTCTCGGTCGCCTCCTCAACGATCGTCGAACACGACGAAGTCGGTCCCAAAATGTAGAACTTACTCTACTGATGTTAGCAGACGCGGTAGTTGATCTATTCAACAGCAAAGCCAAAATGTATCAACCCCTACACACCGCTCAATTGAAGCCATCAATCGCCGTCTGCAAACACTCAAATGGATGACATTTGTCCCGTCATTGTCGCGCTCTGCATCAACCATTGGCTTCTATTCGACTCCATCCTCACCTGCATCATGACATGAAAGCTATGCCACTAGATCAGCACTGTATATACGCCCAAGGCCTCAAACCTAGTCCGTTCAAGAAGACGCTGGGTTGATCTCAACTACAAGATGTCTCGATTCCCCTTCACCCGCGCCTGAACAGTTCTTCGCTCTTGTCTCTGAAACCATTGGCAACCGCACCGCCGGTGGGGTTTGTAAGCGTCTATACAAGCTAAAATGGAGACGCACACTTGACCCATCTCTATTAACAGTAGTCCTCACTTCAACTACGTCTTATCTCCAGATTGAGCCAAGTACCTCACCCACCGATGTGTTCACGTCAACAGATCAATCTCTGCTCCTACAAGTCCAAGCAGAACAATTTCAGCTCCAACTGTCATAATCTGATCGAATACGCCGACTCAGCTGAAGAAACAGCGAACCCTCCAATTTTCCGTCAATAATGATTACATCGTATTCGATGGATCCACCCAATCAATGGAAATATCGCAGTACCACTATGCAATAAGTACCGTCAATAGAACAATTTATTCGGTCCGCTGTGGATTTCTTAACTTTATTCATAACTGTGTCTGCTGATTTATTAATTTCCTAATATGGTCCTGTTTCGATAGCGATAGTGATAATAATAACAATAATAATAATGATAATAACAATGGTGACTTGGAGGAGATCATGCGAGGAGGAGATGAAAGCATGTGGACAGACCTGGAGCAGGGTGAAAAAGTTGTCAGAAAACCGAAGGCAATGGAGGTGCGCAGCTGAAGCCCTATGTTCCTCTAGGAACTAAAGGATACAATAATAATATAATAATAACAATGGTAATAATGATAGTGATAATAATATTAATGACGACATCAACAATAACGAATCTAAATCATCAAGAGTAATTCCATACGAGGAAGAAACCTCGGAAGCCTTACGCGGAATTCTTAACAAGAGACGAATAAAAGTACCATTCAAACCCACAAACTCAATTAGAAACAAGCTTTGTCGGTTAAAGGATCCTGTGGAGCCTTTAAAAAAACAATTTAGTTTATTTGTCAATAACGTCTCAAAAACCGTTAATACCCAGCTCTTGCTACGCCGGGCCTCTCGCTGTCCCTCGAAACCTTTCAGAAACGCTTAGTACTAACGGATGCGAAAACCAGAACACCGATTGGCGACTCGAGGATTATTTATTCTAACACCAACATATAAGCAGCATAATAAACTAAGGTCTATGAACAAATATTACAATAATAAATCATAATATTACTTCTGACAGTTTTTTCTAGGTTCTTTCTGAACAGCGACCGATGAGACGATGACTGGTGTATTGATGCCTCCGCGAAAATATAGGGAAGTTGGGTTTGAGCAAACAACCATGAATTGATCGTACAATCTTCAACTACATTATAATGATATATATTTCTTCCTGTTTATGCGGGAACATACCAATTGTACAGGCATGGATAAGTTATTATATAAATTACACATTATTTGATGTATGATGAATTTACAGTTTGGTTGTTCTTTCTGACATTAGGGTCAGTCGGAACAGTCTGCTATAAAGTCTGTTTGTGTAGCACATAAAGAGATATAGAAATATTGTCTTCGCATTAACAAAAAAACCAGACATCAGATGAATGTAATACAGATATCTGGGAAAAATAAAGCTTGAAGTCAATTCTCCTATATAACTTTGTTGTGAGCAGCACCCGTGGCTTAAAGTTTATTGATGTATTATGTTGAGATCAGTAACATATTTACTCCATTTTTCAGCAGTCTCATCGTAGTTTCCTAACAGGAAAGAAATTTGATTGTGGGTGCGAAAACTAGATAAGGTCATGTTAAGTTGTTTTACTGCATCAAATGGTCCCGAGGTCGGTTCCAGAATTCTCCATTTGCTCCATTTGTGTCTGCATGGCGGACTGTATTCGTAAGTTGAGAAAGATGTTGAAAACTGTTTGAAAACAGTTGCTTTTTCATTTCAGATCATGAATACATTGACATTATCTAATACTCTGCAATGATTGTGAGGTCAGATACATGGGTCAAACTACTACAACAGGGGCAGTCAGACGAGCCGAACATATAAACTTAGCTAAATCTAGATTGGTTGACCCAAATAAAATAAAAAATCTAGAGAATAGTTCAGCTATAGCACTACATGCAGTCACACACAACCATACAATAGGATGGGATATAATGACAGTTTCAAAATCTAATGTCACAGGGTGTGGGGAGGTAGATATTGATAACGGGAGCTTTGTTTATCGAATCAACTGCATATACATGTAATAGAAATGATTCAACACCTGTCCCAAATATATGGAAAATTCTGCTACTATTACGACAAATAGGAGAGGACAAAGAAAACTATAAAACTAAAATTTCAAAGTCGTGTGATCAAAATTGACATGATTATGGACAATAAATTGTGTTCGAAACGTCATCCAGTAAATAATACTGTTTCACTGTGTGATACATCTATAATAATAATAATAATAATAATAATAGTATATTCTCATTTTGTACATGAGAGACGCCAGTTTACAGGCATCATCAATATGATAAATTACATATACGATTAGCAATCATAATTAATAATAATGTTTTAATAAAATACATATTTTTTGCTACTTGTGTACGACACACCAAATATACAGGCATGGATAAGCATTATATAAATTTCGTAAATTTGGTTTATAGTTAAATTACATGGTTGCTGACGTTTCTGTCTTTGGTTTGTGGGAACAATATGATAACCAGTCATTCAATGGAGCACATCATGAAATATAGGAATATTGACTTCGCATTAACAAAAAAACCCAAGTAAGTTTTAGATGGATTAAAAATACTTGGGAAAAAATAAAGCTTGAAGTTATTCCACAATATAACCAGTCATTTAATGGAGCACATCATGAAATATAGGAGTATCGACTTCGCATTAACAAAAAAACCCAAGTTTTAGAAGGATTAAAAATACTTGGGAAAAAATAAAGCTTGAAGTAATTCCGAATCTCATTTTTGATTTATATCCAAATTGGGAAATAAGAACGAATCGTGACGTTGTATTACAAATTGATACCTTTCCATTGGTATAAGAGTATATTCCACAAATGTAATCCGGGTTGCGTCGCGGGGTAAGTTAATTCGTTATTAACCAGGCAACTGAAAGATACGGGACCAATAATGTTCGCAGATCATTTGTCATTGTAAATGGTCAAACATCCACATTATTCATTCTCATTCAAAAAGTCAAATGGAAGCTGAAATGGTGAGAGAAAAAAGAAGACAAACAACAGTAAGGCAAAAGAAAGCAAGAGGAGTCCTTAAGGAGTGATTAATAAATATATACATATATATTCTGTCTAGTAACTATGCTTATTTTTGTTCATTAACTAACTAGTCCCGTTATGCTAACTTTCAAATTATGTGTGAACTAATGTTACTGTCCTGTGTAGAAATGTTTATCATCTAGTTCCAATAATATTAAAATTAATAATTGTAGTTGGTTGTAACTACACGTTTAAGGAACTTAAGATATCTATGTAGGGTGAAAAAGAGGGTGTAAGAGTCAGGCGCAAAAGTGCATTGTCATCTTTGAGCAGTCTGGTGACTGAGGAGATGAACACTGGAAGTGTGTTTGCATCGCGCACATTAGCTGGTAGTCTATTCCAAATGACTGAAAACTTATTTAAGAAGAAGTTGTACCGCACGTAAGTCTGACAGTGCTCTATAGCAATTAGGTTGTGATGATTTCTAATAAACAAACCAATATGGAATTACTTACTACCACGGTGCCCAAGTTTTACACATATTTGAACACGTAGCTCAACGACAAATTATGCCAACTACTCGACTCACTCAAGATGGTTTAACTCCCCTAGAGAGTATAACACTCCATAGAAGCCTCCACATGGACAATATACATGCTAACTTCATGGCTGCCATAAACACAGAACTGGCAAATTCATCTCCGCGGCTGAACTCTGAATCCACTCGACAAATTATCATGCAACTATATGCGAATGATATTGCTTTTGAGGAGACACGTCAACTTCTGGATAAGCAGGCCCAACAGCTGTTTCCTACAAGATGGAAACCATCCAAGAAGCGATACGTCTCCGGTCTCCCACCAAAATTAAACAACAAGAAGAGGCGTCGCATTTTATATGCCCACATGCAAACGCTCTTCCACCGTTCGCCAAAACATGCTGCGAATATGGTACTTGACGGCGGATGGAGAGACCCGTTTACATGTCAGCCCTCCGCTACAAGAGGCTTCAATGAATTTTGGATAGAAACCTTCACGCGCCCAGCCCTACCAGACACTAGACCGGTCCAGGAGCACCTTCCAACTAATAACGATCTAATCGCCCCAGTTTCAACTGAAGAGATGAAATGGGCACAAAAAGAAATGATCAAATCCGCGGCCGGTGTTGACCGCACAACTGCTAGGGACCTCCAGAAAATTAATCACACCAGTCTGGTTGGGTATCTAAACACATTTCTGCTGACGTCTTTTCTACCTTTACCCCTGTCAGCTTCCAGGGTCACCTTCATTCCCGAGACATCACACTGATACCCTACTGACTTCCGGCCTATCTCCATAAATTCTGTCGTTACGCGCTATCTGCACAAAATTATCGCCAAGAGTTGGTCTTTATTTTTTGATAACAGCTTGATTCCACACTTTAGTTTTGGTACAATTATGGAATTTCCACCATGGATATCGGTAGCCCAAATTTTGCTATCAATCTTCTTCACTCCATCTTGAGAGAAGCGCACTCCAACTACAAGTTGCGCATTAGCTATTCTCGACATTTCAAAAGCTTTCGATGGCGTTCTACATCAAAGAATTTTAGGGGTGGCTGAAAGTTTTGGTGTGCCCCCAGTGCTTAGAGAATATCTTACAAACTACTATTCCAACTCCTACAGTCTCTTCCTCGAAGTGAAGTGTTATCCAACAGGGGGGGGGCAAACAGGGTTACCCTCTGTCACCGCTTCTCTTCACCATGACTATGGATGAGATACTCAATGTTCTTGAAGCCCATTACCCCATCTACGTTGATGGTCATCCTTTACGCTGCATAGCATATGCTGGTGATCTCATCATCCTAGCTCCAAACGCTGCGGCTCTTCAAAACAAACTCAGCTGTATCGCCGCCTCGCTGGAACTTGCGGGATTATCGATCAATGTCAACAAAAGCCGTACAATCAACATAGTCACTGACAGACAGCGTAAAATCATGGTTCTTTCTCCAACTATCTTCAATATCAACCACCAGTCAATTCCAGCCATCCCGCCAACAGAGGTATTTACCTATCTGGGTGTTCCCTTCAAGTACAAAGGCAGGCGTTGCTTCGATCATGTGGGCGTCCTCAATGGATACTTAGACAATGTGAAACGCGCTCCCCTCAAACCTCATCAACGAAATTAAATCCTGAAGAGCAATCTGATTTCTCGTCTACTCTACTCACTGACTCTCAGCATCTCACAAGAATACCCTGAAAACGGTGGACAAACTTATTCGTGCAGCTTTCCGCCGATGGCTTCGCCTCCCGAAGGACACTCCGACTGCATTTTCCCACGCTGATATCAAAAGGGGAGGCCTGGGAATCATGAATCTCGCAACAACGATCCCAAACTGTAGGCGCAAAAAATCGAGGCACTGCTCAACAGTAGGAATCCGCTCATACGCAGCATAGTGTCCTCCGTCACATTCCCGCCTTTTCTTAGGATCTGCAATCTTCCGATGCAAGCCCACAGACAAATAGTAACACCAGCAGAAGAAGCACGTGAAAGCTGGGCACAACAGCTATTCTCATCAGCGGATGGTTATGGTTTGACGGAATCAACAACATATCCTGAATCTCACAAATGGCTTCTCAACCCTGAAATGGCCTTGCCCAAACTCTATGTTCAACTGCGTCGAGGACTCTTGGGCACAAAAACGAGACATGCGCGGGGACGTCCTAGAGTTGACATCAACTGCAGAGGTGGATGTGGTCAACCAGAAAATCTTCAACATATTCTTCAGCATTGCGCTCTTACTCATGAGGTCAGATGCAAGAGACACAAAGACGTCCTCAAGCTGATCGCAAACAAACTCCGGTGTGGCATACTATTTCGACGTAACAATCTCGTTGAGATAAACAAGACTTGGTAGTTTACAACGTGATTGCTGTGAAGCCGATCATCCAAAAAGTACTAGGTTAAGTCGAAAACCTTTTCTTTTCCTTGTCTTGTACTTTATCAGTCATATTCTTGTTCTTGTTGGCGGATATTGTTGCTCTCTTATTTGTATACAGCATAAGTCACAGTGATTGTTAATATGGCTCTTAAAAGTGAACTTAGAAAAAGCAATAAAACACCAGATTCTGTAGTCACAAGGGCTTCAGACAGAGAAGGCGAAAATCCAGGGACATCAACCCCTTCCCGCATACCGATCCTCCAGACTCGT